AAAGGATACGAATGGGGAAGGATAAGAGGTAAAAAGGGAGAAAAAATAGGTAAGGATACGACAGCTAAGAATGATAAAAAGGAAGAGCAGAAGAGAGAAGATTAAAGAGAAGGAAGAACAGCAGGAGAACAGGAAGAGGAAGGACGCAAGGCTGAAAGGTGCGAGAGATCAGGAAGGGAAGAAAGAGAAGGAAGAAGGACAAGAAGAATAGTAGATAAGGGGAGAGGGAGAAAAAAAAGGGCATAAAGAAAAAGAGAAATAAAGCAGAACACATAAGTAAATAAATGAATGAGTAAATATGTAAAGATATTAGTTATATACTCATATATATATATATAACATGTATAATATTATATATATATATATATATATATATATATATATATATATATATATATATATATATATATATATATACATACTAGTGTGTTTGAATGTGTGAATATGTAAGTGTGTGTGTGTGTGTGTGTGTGTGTGTGTGTGTGTGTGTGTGTGTGTGTGTGTGTGTGTGTGTGTGTGTGTGTGTGTGTGTGTGTGTGTGTGTGTGTGTTTGCCTGAGCGTATGCACATACAGACACATATTCAATATCACTTGAAAAAACAACAAAGAGTACCGGAAAAAAAACACAGAATTATCTAGAAAGCTTCCACCTCTATGCAAAGTGCACCCCAAGCTCGTAACTGCATAGGCAATAATACAGAGGAAAACTACAATTGATTAATTTGTATGCTGAACTTCAATCCACTTCTATCAAGATCAGAATAAATATATTTACAACGTTCATATACAACGAGTTTTGGGCTCAATTGTTATCTGTAGAAAACTCCTTAACAAAAAAAAAAAACGGAGATTTTAATGGAATGCTAAGTTCAACACACTGATTAATGCGGGAGAAAACGGGGGAAAAAAGGAATGAAGAGTGAAGAAAAGCATCACGAAGAAAGAGAAAATGGATAATAGGAAGACGGAAGGATTGTAATGATAAGAATAAGACGCTGATTAAAAAAAAAATGGTTGTAAGAAGCAAGAGAAATTAAGCAGAAAAAAAATAAAGCAACAGAAAATGGAATCAAAGCATCACAAGAGAAAGAAAACCGAAAAGTGTGGAGAGAAAAGCGCGGGAAAGAGAAAAAGGGAAGAAAGGAAAAAGGAAAGAAACAAAAAAAAAAGGGAAGGTGACACGTTTGCCTCTGAAGGAACTTGTGGACATTGAAACAAAAAAAAAAAGCCAGCCGTTGTCCATTTAAGAATTTGTATGTCAAAAAAAAGTTTACAGTCTAGATCTTTCTTGCTGAATTTCCAGTTTTCAGTAACATGCTATGTCTTACCTCTATGAACAAGATATTCATACAGACACAAAAATAAACGATTCATATAAAACGCACACACATTCAGATAAATAGTACCTCAGGCATACACACACACACACAACCATAATACAAATAACACAGGTAATTTCCAATTTATGTCTGACCAAAACATATTTACGGAGTAGTTGAAAAATGACACTCATAATCGATAAGAATAATACACATACACATACAAACATGCTGCATTCCCTCCACACATAGATTACAACATTTTGCTTTAATTCAAGCTACACATCATTTGGTTTTTTTAATTCCTCTTCACCAAAAAAAAAAAAAAAAATAGATTCGACTGAAGGTACATAGCATGACGGGATTTGATGAAAGCTAGTTCGATGACCATGAGAGTTCAACCACCACACTGCAGGCGTTAACTTCGTGGACTGAAAACTGGTTATTGACATTTTTTTTCTTTTTTTTTTTGGTCCTGAGTGTTTTTATTTATATATACACGTGACAAAAAAATAATAAATCCAGCCTTAAAACTAGGGGAGTAGACTGTACTGTATATTTACATCAAACCACCTCCTACTGTATAATAAAATCAACTCTCGTACAAAAAAAAAATCTGATAGTGAATAGTTTTGTATACCAACGCCACAAACTGCTATGAATACAAAAATATCTGTAAAAATACATCAAGAGTTGTATGCATGAACCCTGACGAGTTAATGTGAAGAGAATAAATTACATTTTAAATAAATAACATGTACACTCCTGAAGCATTTTGAAGCATACATCATTATCATCTATAGGGAGGAATTCAAGGATCGGGGAAAATAAATATGAAATAAATAAATAAATAACAAAAGAGATGATCAAATAATCAACCTTTTTAAATGTAGGGCTAAATACACTTTTTATCAATAATTTATAGGTTTAAAGAATAGAGAGAGAGAACAGATTTGTAGATTATACATAACACATTTTTACGCCTGTATGAAGGCTCCTCAGGGTTCCGAAAATCGAGAAAAATGGTCCCAAAAATACAAAAAATACAAGATTTTAGAATTGCTACTCGTAGAATTTCGTTTCGTCGAGTGAAGAAATATGCATAGATTACATTTTTTCTTAAATTTTGGTGCTTTATATTCAAATAAGATTCGATTCGCATAATCATCATTGAGTAACAATGGCTAAAACCTTCGTCAATATGGCATTATCGCATTTTAGCAAACTTATTGCAAGCTCACCATGAACCAAGGCGTAACCGGTGGGAACGAGGCAAGGGAGTTACGTCCTTGTGGTACCTACCAGTACAGGTCAAAATCGGGGGCGATGCTCGGGGCTCTCCTTCATAAATCACCATGGCAGCTAGCACATCATTTTATTTGTTTGCTTTTTCTTGGCAATCGCCTTTACACTATCTACATCCAAATATTACTTATTTATTAAGAAAGCCAAGGTTTATTTCTCAACACTACAGCGGTTATCAAAACCTTCACTGACTCCATAGCTGCAGCCGTGGGAAAAAAAACAAAAAGAAAGGTGTCTCGTAACGCCCGTTTTCTGTACTTCATTGGGGGGAGGAAAACGAGCCTTAGGAGAGAACCCCAATTCCCAAGAGCTTCAAAACCCTAAGATAAATAATAAATATGGAAAAAGTGGATCCCGAGCATCGCTTGATCCCGGTGCTACTGACACTACAACAACAACAATGGGGACTGGGGGAAGGGGGGGGGGCAGGTCGACGGGAACCAGCCCGCCGTCCACGACCTACTCTGAGAGGCCCTAAGTGGAAGTACTACTACAGGGACCCTTTGTGGAAAGTTAAGAGTTGTTTTTTGCACCCTTAGCGATAAGTGTTTTATATTGTTTGCACTCGTAGTGGAGGACTTGAGAGTGTGTCGCACTACGGGGTTTATAAGGGCCCTCGAAAGGAGCTTTATCACTGGAGAAGAGAGATTCCACTAACATGTAGACAGCCGTTTCACCACAATAGCCCGGCGGCGAGGAGGCTGCTCGGCCTCTCCCTCGCCTGGGCCAGCACTTTGATAGTGTCTATGTAAACATCATGAGTTACTTCGGAAATATATTAAATTTGAAATAATTTTCTTGCATGATAGCACACTCGGAGGAAAGTAAGGGAGAAAGTCGACATTCCTCCGGCGTGGTGGTACTGCTGCCGCCGATGCCGCGCCACTCGCTCCTCAGTCACTCAGTGTCTTTTCGCGCACTTACTTGCTCTCGTCTTTGCTCTGATCACCTTTCTGTGATTTTTCCAATACATTATTCACTTGCACAATCTTATTTTCCTATATATCCACCTTTCGTCGCCACTTACGAGATTTCTGAATTCGAGAAAAATTGTTGAATACCATCTTCGTCAGCCACGTAAAAGCTAGCCAGTATGTTTGACACCATACCAACAATCCCATAATCAATCATGCAAAATGCACGCGAGATATCTTATGACGTCACCAAGAATGCAGGTTGTCAGGCGGGTCTGGTGGTGGGGGAAGGTAGAGGGGGAGGGGGAGAGGGAGGAAGGGCGGGGAGGGAGAAAGAGGGGCGGAGGGAGGGAGGGAGGTGGAGCAGCGGCACCAGAAGTAGGTCATGCAGCAGCAGCATTATCTGTCGTCATCGCCTGCGCCAGCCACAGCCATCGCCATCCTCGCTCCTCCGCCTTCCCAACTCCCACAGAGATTGGCGATGTCTGTGGGATCAGAACGTCGGAGGCAAAACAAACTTATTTCAGGCCTTCCTGTTCACGATGCCGCCTTTGCTGTTAGCTCATTCTGCTGCCCGCCCGCCGGTCACTGCTGAGTCCTGCTTGTCAGTCTTTGTGTCAAGAATTGCATGTACTGCTGCTTGTCTGCTTCCCAGTGGCTCTTTGTTCCTGGCTTACGTGGGATCATGTCAGTCAGGGAATTTACGTCTTGCCTTCTTGCATGTGGCAATGTCCTTCTGTGTTCCACATTAGACCATATTGTAGCGTCTGTTATTAGCATTAATGTTTTAATAAATAAAATAAATATTTGCAGATATATGTCGTCACATGTCATGTAGTCGGTGGATTAAGGAAGGGCGCACTGAAACCCGTGTGAGTTTAGCGTGTACCATGTCCTGTTTTCAGACGTACGGGGGCTTGTGAGCCGAGATGTCGAGTTCTGCTTGTGTAGGTCAAGTGCTTAGTGCAGGGGAGGGCAGGTCGGGGTGGAGGGGTGGGGGAAGGTAGTGATGCTGACAGCCATGGAGTGTCTGCGCGTACATATGCCTCTCTTACACTCGCACACCCTCCTGCTGCCTTGCTTTTATTGTTCATATCTATTGTTGCTTCGTTTTAAAAACACCTGTCTTCCCGGCGCTAGGAGTCCTTCCTGAACGCCAGCGCCGCGGAGAGTCATCAGATTGCCTGGAAAGTGCGGGGTCCGGGGTGAGTCAAGGAATTTCGTTGTTGAGTCGTGTTCCAGGCGCACCGTCCAGCGCGGGCAACCCAAAAACTAGTATCCGGAGACCAAGATCCTGGGCTGGAGCCGAGGTCCGGGTGAGAGACAACCCCTTTCCGGGCGGGAGGCGGCGTGACCCAGATGGGAAGTGGGTCGCTGGCGCTCTCTCCCGCGCCGCCGCCCCCAGCCCACCCCGCCCAGCACCCTCCGACGCCCCCCACCCCCCCGCACCCATCGCGGCCCGCTCCCCGCTCCTCCGCCTCGCCGCGATCTCTGCATGTCAGAGCTGGAACACGAGATTCTGTCCCACAAGCGCATGGAGGTCCGCATGGAGGGGCGCTGGGAAGGGACGGGCAGTAGGGGCGACCGCAGAACCAGAGGTGGGACGAGGGCTGGTGCAGGGGGAGGGGGGAGCGGGAGAGGGGTGGCATCTTCAAGACCCGGGGCTGTGGCTAACAGCTTTCACTTCACTCCCAACCTGTGTTTCTCTCTCCCTCTTTCTCTCACAGAACACACAACACAAGTCCACGGCCAATGTCAAGGGTGAAGAAGGCGTCCCAGGGGCAGCTCCTGCGAGAGAGCTGACCGAAGCTCCGGCCCCACCAGCAGGCACAGGTCATACCAGCCTGCCTGCGCATCCTGTTCTGGGACAGCTTTTGTTAGCAGAAGGGTTCTCAGATAGATACAGTGTCATTCTTGGCACAACATTGTCTCTTATAATCGTTTAAGTTTTCTATTACATCGGCTCGTTCGGCATGAAGACTTCAGAATGAACTGTTATGAGCATCAACACATTTCAAAATCACTCGAGCCGCAGAAATGGCTCTCACGGTCGAAAACATTTCTCGTGGCGTCCGGCGCGTTGTTGGCGTCTACCTCTTCTCTAGGGTAAGGTAAATAAGGAAATAAATAAGAAGAACCGGGCGAGACAGAAGCAACGTGAGGGGCGAGGGCGGGTTGGCTTCAATCCCTGGCGACGCGCTTGTGGATTTGATAGTGCTTGAGCAGGTGAGCCTTTTGTCGGAACGCCTTCCCGCAGGTCTCGCACTTGAAGGGCTTCTCGCCTGTATGCGTGCGTAGGTGGACTTTGATGTTGGACTTGTTGAGGAAGCCGCGGTTGCACACGGTGCAGCGGTGGATGGGCTTGTCTTTGGTGCCCTCGGTAGCGATGGGCAGTTTTGTACTCTTGTTCATGCGGTTGCGGTTCTTGTTCTTCATGCCCGGGAAATCCAGGCCGAGCTTGGTGGAGGAGAGGTCGGTGGACTCGGGCGAGGCCAGCTGGGTCTTGTCCAGGTACGACCTGTTGTCATATTTGCCTGTGGTGAGGAGGTCATCCGTGGTCGTCACGGCGAAACTGTTGGGGTCCGTGGTGTGCGGCATAGTGTCCTTCTGCGTGTAGTAATGGGAGCGCGCGAACATGGGGTCGGCCTTCAGAAGTCCTCCTCCGACATCCTTCAAGCCCTGTGTGAGTCGCGCCTGTAGGATAGGCATCGATATTTCGTTTTTATGGCAATTCCCCTCCGACATGAGGCCTTGCAAGTAATTGTTGTTAGTGACAGCTCCTGCAGCCAGAAGCGAAGTCAGCATCGGGGAGTGCGTGGGCGTCTGCGCGTACTCTATGGTGCTGTGGGTGATGGTGGTGGTGGAGGGCTGGGGCACCTGCGTCGCCACGGACAGGCCGGTCGGGGACATGGTAGAGTTGACCATAGGGTCCGAGGGCTCCACCTTGACGCCGCCGCTCATGCTCTCGAAGAACGCCTCGATGTCCTGGAACTCGGGGGCGTTGAGCGGCTCCAGGGACTCCGGCAGCATGATGTTGTTGATGCTTGTGTTGATGTTGTTGTCGGCGATGGCGCTGCCGATGATAGAGGCGATGTCATCGATGTCTTGCGAGATGGAGTAGCCCGTGTGGCAGCCGTCGGGCTTCTGGGTGGACGAGAGGGGCGACGTGGTGGTGGTGACGGGCTCGGGCGTCCCGGTGTAGCCCAGGAAGGTGTTGGTGTTGGTAATGGCGCCCTTGTATTGGCTCCCGGGGGAGTTGGACGAGGTGGACGAGCTGTCATGGCGAGACGAGGCCGACGTGTCCGGCGACGCCGTCAGGTAGTCTAGGGGCTCGAGCGGCTTCAGCTCGGCGAAGGTGGAGTTTGGAGGCGGCAGATCCCGCAGGAAGGAGTCCAGGGGGTCCATGGCGGCCTTGGGGTCCGTGGCGTAGCGTGGTTCGAGCAGGTCCTCATGAACCCACGCATGGACACCATCAGGGGAGTCCGCGGGCTGAGGGTAGAATTTCATCTGGGCTCCTGGCTGGGGCGTGGCTGCGGTTGTGGGTGGGGGCGTGGTGCATGAAGCGTGTGGACGCGGTCAGATGGCACCCAGCATCATACAGCCCCTGTAACGGCCTCCACCCGCGCGCCTGCAACATATACAATAAACAAAAGTTAAAACACATAGAGGGACAGATGCACAAGATGGTACACACCTGCACGCCATACACAGCTGCCTGTACAGACACTCATCCTCACATCAAACAGCATTCACGTCTAACAGACACCTCGTCAAACCACATATGCAGATCAAACAGCAGTTATCAAGACCTACTTCCAAAACACAGACATACATACACACTGTAGTCATAGAAAAGACATTCACACTACTCCAAAGCAATCACAGCACACAGAGCCAAAGTACACCCCAAATACCAAGTAAACACCAAATTTAAATCACAACCACGGCATCCAACCAAAGCGTAACAACACACCAACCAAACACAGTCCAAATCACAAAACAAACAGCATTCACGTAACATCCACAGCCAACACTATACAAACAACACAGCGCACGCGAAAGACAGTCAAGATACAAACACACGTCATGAAGAAGCAAGAGTCTGATATGTCAAATGTGTCTGTCGAAAGAAGCGAACAGTCCATTTGTTTGTGTTGTAGAACTGACAGAATCACTCACACAGCTCCCATACAAAGAAGCACACAGAGGTATACAGGCGACATTGCATAGAGAATGACAGACGGTACACAAGTGCTCAGTAAATATTTTATATACAATATTGATAAAAAAGTATATCCATATATATGAGATAATTTGGGCTCCAGCCTTCTACTGCAACGCTACAGCAAGAGTGGCGTAGCAACACCAGGTCACTGGTGATATTGCTCAAGAAAGAAGTAAAGACAAGAGAAGCCAGTATAGGAAATCAATAATTGTGCATTCTGTCAGGGAGAAAAAATAAGTTCATGCGTGAGAAACACAAAGGAAGCATTGCATTACAGAAACAAAAAAGTACGACATGCACATCAAACTCAGCGCCTGTGCAAGGCACAAGCACCTACCTTTCTTGAGCCCTTTATACGCGATGTCTTAGACATGCACACAACTTCACTGACAGACTATAACATTCCTGAGTGTCGACTGATCCATCACCATAACTATTAACAATTGTGGGCGTCCTCAGACCGGTGTCGGCCGGCGCGAGGCGGGAGGAAGGGCGCAGGCGCTCCTCTGTGTTACGTCCCGTTCGCCAGATCTGTCCCGTGGGCATTGCTAAATGTTAATGTACAAGTGTAGACGTGTCTGGACTAGGGTAAGGCAAACGATAGTGGATGTGTGTAATCAGGCTACTCATGCATTCGTGTGGGGACGACGGTGTCATTTTATCTTTTAATGAAAAATAAGAATATGTATATATTTCTTCAGGGCAGACACTATGGCTACTGAAATTGAAATTTCTGTACTTGACCATGTTCTTGTACGAATATGAAACCGATAAAACATGATAATTTTAAGACAATAGGAGACGTTTCTGTGTAATTTTAAATATGCAAACTTCATAATGACAAAGAAACGTATCTAAGAGAAAAAAAAAACATATTACCAGATAGTACAAAATATCCTTATATATGCTCAGTCTTCAGTGATGTGAATAACGTTGATAGTAACTAATTCTTTCTGATCTCACTCCATGCACTTAGTAGAGAAAAAGTTGTCTGGCGCGTCAGCAGTTAAAGACTATTAGCGTACTAAAGGGCGAAATGCTCTAGCCTTTATCACCCACTATATATTTGCCTGCAATAACTTACCCTCCCCCTCAACGCATACATTCTTATACCTCCTGCGTCTAACAAGCGTTGGCCAGTACTAGTATTATCATTAATGAGATATTATCATATGAAAAAGACAAAAAAGAAAAGAAAAACACAATGTAACAATAGTAATCATTTACAGTGCAGCGGGACTCGTTTAAATGGAAGCTTACACGACTGGTTAGCTTGTGACAATGTGTGTATTGTGTTGTAAATGAGGAACCAGCCAAGTAGGGCACTGATGAATAGCCACTACAGGATGTATGGTCTGTTGCTGAGAACAGCGGTAATGTTTTTCTCTTTTTCTGTCTCTTTCATTCTATTTGTGTTCACTTTCTTGTTTATATATAAATGGCATACTGGGTGATATGTGTTTTGTATGTGTGTAAGATTCTGCTTATGTACTAATTCAGTGTTGTTTAATGATCATTATAGAGTTTACAACAAACATTCCTTTATTCATAAATATATCTTAAATCATGCGTATTTCTTCGAAGTCAAACTGAGCTAAAGGACATAATATCCAAAACAAAAAAAATATATATAT